AAGTCACACAGACCAGGGATGGATTTTTAAACAACAAAAGAATAAGGTTTATTTTAAATACAAACAGGGTAAATAAAACAATCAGGTGAATAAAATAAAGTAACGTGGCTTATTCTCACACACACAAGCATACAGTTTGGTTCACCTAGAACCTTTAACTTAAAGCACAGACCCTGAACCCATCAGTTCTGGCTAACCAACAGACCCCTGAACCTTTCAGGCTGGTACTCTGACACACAGTAGTACCCTGTCAGACACACAGACTCCCACAACAGCTTCTTCTTCCCCAGCTGCTGCTCCGCCCCAACCCAGTGTCTCACAGTCTGTCTCAGCAACAACCTTCACCACACAGGCATCACATATTTATACAGTACAGCCCCCCCTCCTGATGTCCCGCCTTCCACTCCCCATAGGATGGAACTTTCCCTCCAAACCCATGACAGACAGGTAACATCAGTGCTGTTATGTAACAAATAGCACCTCCCATCGCACGTCACACTGAAAAGGAGGGAGTAGGAAATACACTTCTGGATGTGTGTCAGAACGCAGATGGGAATAACCTTTTGAATTTAAAAAAAATTAAGAAGCAACAAACAGTCTTCTGGCATTTAAAGGAGTTTTTAATCTGAGAGAAATCTTCATGGGCCATCATTTGCTTCAAGAGGTGCGTATGCCTTGAAAGCTTCTGCAAAGTAAAACATGGTCGACTCTAAGGTGCCACAGGACTCTGTTGGTTTTTGCTTAAACAGAACAGCGCGTCTACTAGGGATGAGGGCTATGGAGTTTTTAGAGTACGAATCCCATAATACTCCGTTCTGGGAGTTCTATCTGACGGAAAGACACCTTACGGACACTTCAGTGTGGCTCGCCTGGGAGAAAAGGCCTAAACTGGAAGGCTCTGAGCTTAGCTAGGCCTAGCTCCACCCAAGCTTCCTGTTCTTGCCCCAGTGCTTCCTTCTGCAAAGGGAGCTAGGTGGAGCTAGGCCTAACTAGGCTTCAAAGCCATTCAATTTAGGCCTTTCTCTCAGGTGAGCCACACTGAGAGGTCTATCGAATCTCTGTCAGCTCCAAGAATGGAGAATTCTAGTCTTTTAAAAAAAAAATCCAAAAATCCCATCTCAGGTACCTACCTCCTCTCCTGCCCTAGAAAGTTTTGAATACATGCCCCATGGAAACCAGTGGGAGGACCAGCTGTTCTCTACATCTCCCTCAGCTTACATCCCATAAATTCTAAAATTCAGAAGAATTAAGACCAGAGATGGAGACACAAGTCATGGGACCCGCTGTCAAATTGGACTTAAGTTGAACCAGTGATTCGACTCAGACTTGATTTTATTCCCCCCCCCCATGACTTGACTTGTGGCTCTGAAACCATCCACCTCTTCCCTTTTTTCTGGGGGGGGGGAGCTTGTTTTTAATAGGAGACAGGCTTGGGACTCAGGACTTGGTACCAAGGACTTGGGACTTGAGACTTGGGACCAAGAACATGGACCCAGACTTGCCCACTTCCCTGGTCAAGTCGTGCTGTGAGGTTGCTTCCGATGACCAGGAGCCTAGGGCAGAGGTGGCTCCTTTCCGTGGGGCCCACCCAGCTGAGATATTGGGATGAGCTGTCCGTGCTCCAGGAGGGTAGGGGGAAAAACAAGGTCCAAAAATAAAGTGGCTCCACTCCATTTCCTCTCTCCTCTCAACCGCCTTTTCAAACAGAAGCAACAACACCCGGCCGCCACGGGGAATTTTCAGCAGCATATCTCAAGCAGGCGTGTTTTGACAGTCACAAGGCAAATGTGTGTGGCATTCACCTGCAATTAGTCATGCTCCGAGGAGACGGGAGGCTGGTTGGCTGGAGAGGTCACATGCCTGCGCCGAGTGCGCCGGCAGCAAACGCAGGAGGCCGCGTTCCAAGTTGAATTGTTTGGAAAGGTCACTGTGCACTCGGGTCCCGGCGTTCGAGCAGCAGATGCCGGTAATAAGCCACAACAGGGGGACCCATTAACTGCAGCCAGTGTGGCGAGGTACACTGATAACTTAATGGCATGGCACTGTGGGCTTGGCAGCTTTGAGACCATTTACATCTTTTTAAGCACTTCTCCCCTCTCCCCGTACTTAAAGTAGAGATGTTCAAAGGAATGCTACACTTTCACGCAGGGGGAAAAAGAAGAGCCCCAGTCCAGCCAGCGTATAGATATCAAACAGGACCTTTTATGATGGATTGTGAATTGAGTTAGGAGAACAGTTTGGCCATGGGGATTGTGCTCCAATTGGGTTGGGATGAATTTGGACCCCCGTCTGATTCGGAATCTGCCTCGTTTGGGAAATCCAAATCACCAGCTCTCCAAATGACATTCGTTGAACGTTCAAGAGGGCCATGGTGCATTTGCTGTTTCACAGACATGCGTGGGACTCAAAGGCATGAGAAATCCTTATAGGGGGATTAAATGGGCTCAGTTTAAGGCAGGACCATTGATGTTTATATTATTGTTGTTGTTTAGTCGTTTAGTCGTGTCCGACTCTTCGTGACCCCATGGACCAGAGCATGTCAGGCCCTCCTGTCTTCCACTGCCTCCCGGAGTTTGGTCAAATTCATGTTGGCCGCTTCAGTGACCCTGTCCAACCATCTCGTCCTCTGTCGTCCCCTTCTCCTCTTGCCTCCACACTTTCCCAACATCAGGGTCTTTTCCAGGGAGTCTTCTCTTCTCATGAGATGTTTATATTAGGCCCCTTTAAACTGGGCTCTCACCTCTGCTTTCATGTTGCAAAGAGACTCAAGGTGCTCCCATTGCTAGAAGGGCTCTGCCGGAAACTGAGGCCAGAATCCTAATGCTTAGTTATGCTAGTGTTAGGGCAATGGTGCAAAGGTCCCACATAATTCTCTGCTTTTCTTTGGCCAAGACCCAGCCTGCCCACTTTCCATCTCAAGGGCGACAGCCATAATGATGCTCGATGCCTTCTGCCTACCTTCGATCTTCAGCCAGAATCCTTTTGGTTAGATACACCGGCATAAGTGGGAGGTCATAAATGGCAGCAATGAATTGCTGCTAGTTTGGATGTCCTTGCCTCTCTTCCGGATGGTATGCCCGCCATCTGAGTCAATGCACAATGAGGGATACAGAAGGCAACTCGTTGAACGAGCAGAAGTTCAGCTGTGTGATTTGCGCCATTGCACTTGCACCAGAATAACACACCGGGAGGATTCGGGGCTCAGCCTCTGACAGCCCTATTGGCAGTGGTAGCAAGTTGACTTCCCTGTGGGAGAAAGTAAGCTGGCCCGCAACAAGATCTCGTGTGCACCATGCAGGTTTGTGTTCCTACTGTGGGCGTGCCTCGTGATTAACTGAGTTGAACGAGCAGTGGAATATAATGGTAAGGCGATCAGGGTAACAGAATGTAAATGAGACCCGCAAGCTGAAATAATGAGATATAATGGAAATCACATGAGTTACTCAAATGCGGATGAAATGGGCAATAACAATAATAATGCTTGTTGCGCTTCAGATTCACGATATGAATTAAAGTGCTGTATAATGGTAAGAGATGAGGAAATGATGTGCTTCCGTGCAGAATTCAGAGAGATATGCAAGTGTGCATACAAAGACAGAAGCAGTAAAGGCATTCACTATAAATTTTTCAAAGGTTTGCCTCTAGCAGGTAGAGGAAAGCCAAACAGCAGAGAACTGCATGAGAGTGTGGAATCTGTTGCTTATATATAACTCCCCTGCATATCCTGCGACGGGAGAATGTGTGAAATCTTTGCCCCAAATTACATGTCAGAGCTGCTGGTGGATTCCTTCCTTTCCCCTATGTCATAATAATAATTGGTAACCATATGCTATCAAGTCAATTCTCACTTAGGGCAACCCTTTCCACAGTTTTCCATGCAGAGAAAACTTAGAAATGGTTTCTCATTCCCTCCTGGGACTGTGCAGCTTGCCCAAGGCCACCTAGGCTGGCTGGATCTTCTGCCTGGAGTCAGAGTGGGGGATTGAACTCCCAGCCTCTGGCTCCACAACCAAAGACCTAACCCACTGAGCTATCTAGTCGGCCCACATGTCATGCCACCTGGATATTCTGGATCCAAAACCTCTAATGTCCATCACTGTGTTAGCCCTTTTGTTTAAGAAACCTTATGGAAGGCATAAATGGTGTTTTCCCTCTGCACCAGTTTCATCACACAAAGGGGGGTGGAGCCTGAAGAGGAAAAGCTTGAACCAGAATATGGGAGGGGGGGAGAGATAGTGGCTCTCACTGAGTTTCACACTAGACCAGGGGTGGTGACTCTTTGACCTTTCAGTTGTTTTGGACAACATCTCCCATAATTCCAAGTCTATATTGCCCACCATAAAGGGTGTGTATATAATGTGCTTATCAGGTTTAGAAAATGTAAATATGCTTCACATATTTAAAAAGTACATAGATGCACAGACAGCCCCTGATGTGAGTGGCCTGGAAAAGGGAATGGCGAAACCCGTAGGGGAATTTGCTAGCCATGGATATTAGCAGTGGAGGTGGGTGGCTCCAGCATCAGTGGGGTGATCAGTCGGCTCTGGGTTTCAGCCTGAACCTCATGGGAGCAATATAAGCTGCTCAATTCAAACACCACAACAAGTTCAGCACTTGGACAGCTCCAGTTCTCATGATGACAATTCCTTCAGGTGCCAAGGACAGCATTCTCTGTGCATGAGTTGCTGGAGATCTCCTTTGGGGCTCAGAGGTGTTGTCTTTATGTCCTACCTGTGAGCTTCCTCTAGGCAAGTCATTGGTCACTGTAGGGGCAGAAGGTGGGAATGTCGGTGGTCTGTTCCACCCTGTTTTTTTTTTTTCCCTTGTGTTTTAACCAGCTTGATTCCCTTACCGTGGCTTTAGGGCAGAAGGTGGGAATGTCGGTGGTCTGTTGCACCCTGTTTTTTTTTCCCTTGTGTTTTCTCCAGGTTGATTCCCTTACCGTAGCTTTAGATAACTTGTGGAAAACAACCCATAACTGATTGACCTCTTTTGTGTAGGTGCCCACCCTGATGATGGACACTCAGTTTTCGGAGTTCACCCCCGACATCACCCCCATCATGCTGGCGGCTCACACCAACAACTATGAAATCATCAAGCTCCTGGTCCAAAGACGAGTAACCATCCCGCGCCCGCACCAGATCAGATGCAACTGTGTGGAATGTGTCTCCAGCTCTGAAGTGGACAGCCTGAGGCACTCCAGGTCGAGGCTGAACATTTACAAAGCGTTGGCCAGCCCTTCGTTGATAGCCTTGTCGAGCGAGGACCCCATCCTGACTGCCTTCCGGCTCGGCTGGGAGCTAAAGGAGCTCAGCAAAGTGGAGAACGAGTTCAAGGCGGAATACGAGGAGCTGTCTCAACAGTGCAAGCGGTTCGCTAAGGACCTTCTGGACCAGGCGCGGAGCTCCCGGGAACTGGAAATCATCTTGAACCACAGGGATGACCAGAGTGAAGAGTTAGATCCCCAAAAATGTCATGATCTGGCAAAGCTAAAGGTAGCAATAAAGTACCATCAAAAGGAGGTAAGGACCATTTTCCTGTAGAGGTGATGTCTATGGTGCATAACCCATTAGGGATGGAATTGTTGGATTTCTCTGGGACGACCGCTATCATAATTCTGCATTTTGGGAGTTCCGCTGACCCTTGTGGGCACCTTAGAAATGCTTCAGTGTGGCTCACCTGGAAGAAAGGCCTAGATTAGAGGGCTGTGAGGCCTTACTTAGGCCAGGCTCTGCTCAAGCATTCTGTTCCTGCCCCAATGTTAGCTGGGAACTTTCTTTCCGGGAAGGAGGCTTGGGCGAAGCCACCCTGTATGCTGCTTAGTCAGGTGTTTCAGCCAATGCCAAACGCTTCAGAAACATTACTCTGTGTTTTCACTGCAGCGCAGACATGAATAAACAGTAAATGTGACCAGGAAGCACCATCTGGCAGTGTTCTGTACGTGCATTTGAATGTTCTCACACGTTTTCAGAGTTGACTAGAGTCTCAGACAATTCACGCTGATGGAGTACTTGCGGTAGATGTGGTGCTACCGTGAGATTCTGCCCCTCTAGATAATTGCTTAAACAATGGGGAGAAGGAGGCACAGAGAAAGCCGGTGATGTTCTTCCTGAGATCAATATCACATGGCATCCACATGACCAAGGAATTATCTCAGCGCTTGCAACTAAAATAACTTGAGTCCTTCACACATTGTCCAAGTTATTCCGTGGAATTCTGAATCCCACTAACAACCCTGACAATGATTATATGTTGACATGGGCACTTTGTATTTATATCCCTGGGGATATGAATACAAAGTGTCCATGCCTAATTATACTACATAATGATGCTGAATCACACCTAGGAGCAGCATCTTGCACCCCATAGTGTCTCCCACAGGATGAAGCCCTCTCACACTGTCTGTCCCTGCAAAGTGGTTTCCACAGGTAAGCTCCGTCTGTTTCCAGAGGTGGTGCTTCCTAGGCAGTATTGGACCCTTTGAATGGATCCAGGATTTCTCTTTGCTTGATTGTTCGCCTTCATATGGGGAAGGGGCAGAAGACCTGTGATCTGCTCCTTGCCCAAATAAAGGGCGCACCCGCTCTGTGCCTGATCTTTGTCTGTGCTTCTGGGTCTTTGTGAAGAACCCAATACATGTGAATGGGGAAATCGTAATGGCACGGCCAGCTCCTAGATGGAATGGTGCAAGGAAGACATAAAAGTGGCACCAGCTGAGTGCTTTGATGGGTTTTTCTTTTTTTAACCCTTCTTTTCCCCCAGTTTCCTTTTGGCTTCTGAAAGCAATCACTGGGGAGGGAGTTGGGTGAGGAACTTTAAAAGGGCAATGGGCACGTTCCTCCTTGATGCTTTCTTAAAAGGGCAATGTAGGAAGCCTGCTCTTTCCATCTGTTCTCTCGATCCCCCTGCCCTTCTTCTTCCCTGGAACCTAGATTAGTGGTGCTGCACCCTCAATATAGACACTGATGGCTTAATCAGTGACTCTGCATCAGAAAAAGCATGGAGAGTTTATCTCTGAAATAGAAAACACGTTGTCTTTCACCCTCATCAGTTTCTCTTTCTCTTCTTTCTGCTTCTAATCGCAACACATGAATGGGATTAGGAGGAGGGAGCAGAGTCCTGCTCAGGATGTGGCCGGGTCCTGTTCAGAGTGCCTGACATGCCCGCTTGCCATGCCCTGCCCCAGCAGGCTCCCTTACCATCGACCACCCTCTTACCTATTTTGCATCTGCCATCATGTCCTTTCAAAGCCACCTTTCTGGAACAGACAGAAACATGCATCAAATGACAAACTGCCGGAGAGCTGCCGAGCTGGAGGTTGGGAGTTCGATTCCCCCACGGAGCCTCTTTGACAAGGAGGCTCAGTGGACTCGATGCTCCACAGGGTCCCTTCTAGCTTTGCGGTTCTAGGATGATGATGGTGAGGTATATCATGTTTTGGAACTGGGAGTGAACAGTAATAACAGAGAGAGGGAAGGGGGAGAGAAAGAAGAATGAGTTTTGAAATTATTTCTATGGAAACAGTCTGCACAAACGGGGGCTTTTATTCCTGCCCTTCTTTCATGAGTCAGTGACATTTTTTTTGTGAGGATGGTTTCTCGTCAGACTGAAGTTCTCATTAGACATTCTCAAGGATCCCTTACAGTCTTCGGGGGTTACCGTACCAGCCAGCCCATGGTGGCACCCTTGACAGATTCAAAGCCCTACAGAGATTTGCTTGCCTTCCCTGTGAAGGCTATCGGTATACAGAGAGGTAATAGATCTCTCTCTGGTGGCTTTTCTCTACATAAATGTCTCCAGGAGAAAAAGAAAGAAAAGAACCAAGCAGTCCACCTCATATTTTTCCTTCACTGCTGCGATTTGGGCTTGTGGAGTCAGGAGCAACTAACTAATTTTATGCCCCTAATTTTACATTGTGTTTTACATAATTTTACATGATGCCCCATTCCCTTCTGCAATGAAGAACTGGTCAAGAACCAAAACCCGAGTTTATTTATTTGTCTATTTAAAAATATTTTTATCCTGCCTTTCTCCTTTAAAAAGGCATCAAAGAGTCTTAACATCGTTAAAAAGACAAGATTTAAAAGCCAAAAACAATAATAAGTATACAAAATATTTGAAAAGAATTAAACAAGTATGATATTTAAAAGCAGTGAATACAATCAAGACTGGAACATATCTAAAACAACAGGCCAACCATCCATTAAAAAAAAACCCACTCAGGCAGTCTTTAAGGGAAGGGTTGCCTCAAGAGAAAGGTCTTTGCCTGCTTGTGAAAGGACAGGAAAGGTGGAACCAAGCTAGCCTCCAGTGACAGGGAGTTCCAGAGTCTTGGAGCAGCCACAGAGAAGGCGCTGTCCTGGGTCCCCACCATAAGTGACTGTGAGGGTAGTGGGACTGAGAGGAAAGGCCTCCCCTGATTATCTTAAGGCCCAAGCGGGCTCATGGGGCCTCTTTATCCCTTCATCCTGGACTTTTGTACACACAATGCCCTCCAGTTTTCTGGGAAAGTTCTGAACTTGTCTCTCTCTCTCTGTAGGCCACTGAACAGAGCGAATGCTTTGAGCGAGGACCACTTAGAACGTGGAGGTGAGAGCCAGGAAGTCTCTCATTTCCACCTTTCCTTTTTTAACGGAGAGATGCCGGAAACACATCGGCACTTCCAAAGGGGGCGGCATCTATTCTGCCCCTCTTTGGAAATCCAAATCAGTCAAATAAACCGGATGCACACCACATGAGCTGCACATTCAGCTCCTTTCCCTCTCTCACCTTGCACGAGCCACGGATCCTAAGGAGCAGAACTGCACAGGGTGGAAGGGCCACACAGCGTCTCCCGACGCCTGAACAACCAACAAGGCTAAACAAAAGGATTTGTGCCGTGTTGGTACGGCATTATTTTTATCCACAGCATGCATAAATATATCAGAAACAATGATGGCCCTCCCGTCTCCTAAATAATTCATCAGATGCCCCCGGTGTATTTGAAATTCAGGGCGTGCATCCATTCTGCACAGGAAACTGGTTGGAGTGCCAGGAGGAGGAGGATGAAACACGCAGGGTTTCATTTTATATCTCAGCATTTCTAAACAATACTCTACAAAATCCACTGTAGGGCACATCCTAATATCTACTGTTTAATTAGTTCCCTGCCACTTCTGCAAAAAGTTAATTTTTATTCTAGGATGCATGATCGACACCCCCTCCCCTCTGTGTAGGTATATTTGTGCACACTAAGTAATGTTTATGCTTATTGGCATTTATATTTTATTTCTTTCCTTGCTTTTCCTGAACCTGTTGTTGTACAACGGAGTTAAAATATTATTTTGCCAGTTCATAAGATAATGTGTAGAGGCTGGATAGGTCAGTGGTTTTGGTCTCTAGCTGCGAAGCAAGAGGTTGGGAGTTCGATTTCCCAGTGGGCCTCCTCTGAGTATGGCCAGCCTGGGTAGCCTTGGGCAAGCTGCACAATCCAAGGTTGCCCCTAGAGGAAGGGAAGGGTAAAGCATGTCTGAGTTTTCTCTACCCAGAAACCCCCGAAAAGGGTTACCATAAGTCAGAATTGGCTTGACAGCACATGTTGATGATGATTATAGCTAGTTAGATAGCTTAGTGGTTTAGGTCTCTGGCTGTGAAGCCAGAAGTTGGAAGTTCAATCCCCCACTGTGACTTCTGCAAGTAGAGCCATCCTGGGTAGCCTTGGGCAAGCTGCACAGTCCCAAGGTTGCCCCTAGAGGAAGGGAAGGGTAATGCACTTCTGAGTATCCTCTACCTGGATAACCCTGAAAAGGGTCGACATAAGTCAGAATTGACTTGCCGGCACATGATGATTATGGACATATGGGGTGTATGTCAGAAACCTTTGTTAGGAGTACAAGCCGTTTTTTGTTTTTAGCCTATCCATTGTGGAAAATGAAAGGGGAGTGGGCGGCATAATTGGTATTGGCATTGCTGAAAAGATTCATCCAGTTATTTCCCCAATCCTACTGATCAAACAATAGGCCCATGGTACCCATGGGGGATTGGTTCCAAGCCCGCCCCCCTGCGGATGCTGAAAACCACAGAAGTTGTGAACGCTGTTGTTTTTGGCTGCAGAGAACATAATCAATCTGATTTCGGTACTGCCCATCTGGTGATGTCCATGTGTAGAGTCGCCTCTTGTGTTCTTGGAAAAGAGTGTTTGTGATGACCAGCTCTTGACAAAACTCTATTAGCCTTTGCCCTGCTTCGTTTTGAATTCCAAGGCCAAACCTTCCTTTTATCGTTCGACTCCCTACTTTAGCATTCCAAGAATGAGATGAACATCTTTCTTTGGTGTCAGTTCTAGAAGGTGTTGTAAGGACACATAAATTTGGGGCAACTGAGGAAGAGTCCTAGATTGGAAGGTTTTGAGGCTTAGCTGGGCCTAGCTCCACTCAAACATCTTGTTCAGAAAGAAAACTCCCAGCTAGCACTGGGGCAGGAACAGGAAGCTGAGCAGAGCTAGGCCTAGCTAAGCCTCAAACCCTTCTAATTTAGGCCTGTC